TTTGACAGCTATCTGAGTGGATGGAGTCATCTGAGGAGATTGATTTGACCGATAGAGACTATGCTTGCCGTGTTGATTTAATTGCCAAAGCCCGCAGTTTACAGAAGGCAGAGGCTTATTTGCGGAAGATTCCTAAACAATTTTGTGGTGAACTAGTGTACCGAACTCTCCTAGCCAATTCTGTTTATACATTGGATGTGAAAAAAACCGAAGAGATATTCAATAAAATGAGGGAACTTGGGCTCCCACTCTCGAGCTTTGCTTTCAATCAGATGATTGCTCTTTATAAAAAAACTGATAAGAAGAAGATTTCCGATGTCCTTTTACTCATGGACAAAGAGGGAGTGAAGCCATCTCGCTACACATACCTATTATTGATCGACATCAAGGGCCAAGTAAAGGACATTGATGCCATGGAAAAAATTGTAGAGACGATGAAAAGCGATGGATTCGAACCTGATGTCTACATAAAAGGATCAATAGCCAAACACTATATTGCCGGTGGTCGCAATGAAAAAGCCGAGGCTGTAATGAAGGAGATGGAAGAAGGGGACGAGAAGGAACGCCGTTTTGTGCGCACATTGCTCCTTCCTCTCTATGCTTCCCTTGGCAAGGCAGAGGAAGTTAGCAGAATCTGGGAAGCTTGCAAATCCAAACCAAGTGCATACGAGTGTCTGGCTGCAATTCCTGCTTGGGGAAATTTGAAGAAAATTGAAGAGGCAGAAGAGGCCTTCGAGACATTGCTAAAAAAGCATGTAAAGTCAAAAGATCTCATTTCGAAAGCCTACCATGTTTTATTAAGTGTGTATGCAGAACACAAGATGTTGGAGAAAGGGAATGAGCTTGTGAAGAGGATGGGGCAAAACCATTGCCAGGTGGGGCCATTCACTTGGGATGCACTTGTTAAGCTTTATTGTAATGCTGGAGAAGTGGAAAAGGCTGACTCTATACTGAAAAATGCAGCCACAAAGGGTCAGAAAAAGCCACTGTACAGATCCTATGCCACCATCATGGAGCAATATGCAGCAAAAGGCGACATACACAACTGTGAGAAGATGTTATACAGAATGAGGCAGGTGGGGTACACATCCCGGCTTAAACAATTCCAAACACTTCTTCAGGCATATATAAATGCCAAAGCTCCCGCTTATGGAATGAGTGAGAGAATGAAGGCTGATAACATATTTCCGAACAGAACATTGGCTGGCTTGTTGGCTCAGGTTGATGGATTCAGACAGGCCGAATTGTCGGAGATACTGGATTGATTAGCTTCTGGTACTGGGGTAGTTAACAACTGAACTGTAGAATTTGGTCTCTTATTATGATTTTGTAGTCCTTCATCTACTTGTGATGTTTAATGTGTTTTCTTGTTATGTTTCACTTAAACAATGTGATCGGCATGGTGATTCATTTTAAATAAATGTAACTATTGCCTAGGTTTTGACAATGTTAGGAAAAATAATACCAAACGAAATGCTATGGACAACAATGGATCGGTTTTAAAAAATTTCTAAAAATAGACTAAGGTGACTTTTATACCCCTAACTCAAAGTAACTGTTCTCCAGTGACCATGACCTGGTGACCATGACCAAATGACTTACTGACCACTGCAGCCCACTGCAGTTAGAGTTACTAGTGAAGTATTTCAATATAAAATTTTGATTCATATGTACTCCATTAACGTTTGATCAGAATACAAAACCAGTCCAAAGCCAGAGTTATGTAACTCGATCTTGGGCTCCTGTATATAAATGCAGAAACATCCAATACAGGACCAAAGTCAACCTAATATCAGGAAGGACTGGTCCACCCTCTTTTAGCTCTAACTTTGTCAAACTTCCATTTGTCTCCACATAATTGGAGACGTAGAAGGAGCTATGTGAGAGTTATCAGTTAGATAAACTCACCATAAATATTACTATATTAGGTTTTCAAAATGATAATAACATTTCAATTACTATTGTACCCTCCGTACTGCACAAACAATGACTTTCATATTCAGGGTTATTTGGTTGATGAGTTTGTACCTAATCTCAACCCTATACACAGCACGCACACATAATATGGAGGTTTGCAAGTGCTAGGCAATGCGCCTGGTTTGGTTTCCACAAAAACACCGATTTTAAGGGCTTGTGTTGAAGTCTTGTAACACCTTGATTTAGTGAGCTTTTTTTTCTGAATATTTATTGAACTAGTTACTAGTTATATGAAACATTATTAATTATTTTAGTTGATTAATAAATAAGTTTCTTATATGAATAATGTGATTTATTGTGATATCTTTGTTTTGGTGACCGATAACGTTGACCTGTATGTTTCAATGATAATAAATAAATAAGTAAATCATGTTATAGAGTTTAATCAGTTTATTTTAAAAGAGAGTATTTTTATTTTAGCCCAAGTAGAAACATTTTTACCAGAAGGCTAAGACACTCAAATCAATTATCTTGGTCCGAACCAGTACTATTTAAAAGCCCTAAGGATTATTATTATTACATATGTACACGGTTATTTTTTCTTCCATCTATAGTACCCACACATTTTTCTTCTCTTTCAATCAACGGACAAATGGAAAATCAAACAAAAATTGGGTCTTGGATTAATTGGGTCTGGATTAAGCTTCCTTCCTATGAATCTTGAAGTTCTTTTAAGATACCGGGATATAATCCAGTTCCAGAGCTAAAGATCGTAGTTCTCGAACGAGCAATCTATAAGATTCTGGAGCATATTTTGGATGAGGTATTGTACCTCCAAGGACCGTAGTAACAAGTACTTGCTGACGAGCTCTAATATGATCCGATTTATAAGTAAGCATCTCTTGTAAAATATGAGCAATCCCAAATCCTTCGAGAGCCCAAACCTCCATTCCCACCTGTTGCCTCCCTGTTTCGCTCTTCCTCTAAGGGGTTGTTGTGTAACAAGTGCATAATGTCCACTGGAATGCCCATGTAGTTTATCATCAACTTGATGAATTAATTTCAAGATATAAGCCTTACCTATTAGGATAGGTTGTTCAAAAGGATTACCCGTTCTTCCATCAAATATTCTACTTTATCCTGGGTATTCGGGTTCAAATGCCTATGGATGCGCTGTTTTTTTACGGGCTTCATGTAATTGAGAAATTACTATTTTTCTCGAAGCTTCTCGTTCATATCTCTCATCAAAAGGTGCATTTCACATGACTCCTATTGGAGTACCCTTTCCCATTATTTCACATGGTATCAAGAGCTTTAGGTTTGTAGATACATTTTTTTTCTTCTCTTTTCTTCGGTTCGCATGAGCCCTAATACAACTGCCGCCGCCACATGTATGGTAGCCTCCAATCCTTTGAGGATGAGCGCGGCTGATATGGCGCAGATCACCTTCTTCGTGTCGCTGACCACGGTGCTTGCTTCCAGCGTACCGATGAGTTCGTCGTCTGTTGCTGCCTATGTCCGCACAGCCAACCATCTTCCCGTTGCTGACCACGGTGCTTGCTTCCAGCGCATCGTTGAGTTCACCGCCCGCTGCATCAGACGTCCATTCTCTAACCGAGTCCGGTTCAACCACTCGCACAGCTGTTCCAGAGCGCTACGCCTATCCCACTCTCTCTGGCGACCCTGACATGATCCCATCATCTTCTGCCGGGCCAGTTGGCCGTCGGCCGGGATCCTCTCCACTGCCCACTTCATTGGGTGCTCTTGCTCAAGGCATCTTCAGGGGTCTCCAAATTATGGACAATATTTGCTGTTTTTTTTGTCATAATCTGGTTTCTTGGAAGTCCTAGAAACAACCTACTTGCTCATGGAGATTTTATTGTCAAATATGTGCCTCCTAATCTTCCGCTGGAGGATATATTTACTAAGAGTTTTTTTAGTTTGCAATTTCATTTTTTAAAAGACAACTTGCACGTTGTATCTCCCGCACAGTTTGAGGGAGTGTAATAACTTAATATATTTAGGAATCTGCCTAATATATAATTAGGAATCTACCTAATATATATTTAGGTATACTTTGTATTTTGGGAACTCTTCTATTATAAATATATCTGTTAGAACTCCTATTGGAGTACTATTTCCCATTATTTCACACATTGCCCTTGAAGTGCTATTTTAGGGAATCAATAGAAAAAATCGGGTGAGTTGGGAACATGATTGACAAGAGTTTTGATGATTGCGATGTTCTCTGGACAGTAATGAATCGAAATTTTTGCTATGTTGTCTCTCTATTTTATTTCTATCTTTTAGGGTTCTGGTTTTGGTCCGACATTTTCTTTGGCCGAGAGTTCTGTCCACTTCATGTGAGCGTGCGTTTTGTTTTCTTCTAGCAATGTGTAGAGGTTGTGTCTTCCTCGTCGTTGTAATCGATTGAGTGGTTCATCAATTATGGTTGACAAGACAGGTTCAATCTAGTTCTTGTGAAGTTTCAATTATTCGTCCTCCTGAACCACCGTCTCACTCGAAGAAAAAGATAACACTCAATTAGATCTCCTTTTCGGTGGTTGGTCAAACTGATGATCCATAAAATTTCTGCTTAGCTGAGTTTCCTTTGTTGGATGTCGGTCAAACCAATTCTCCCTTTCCGGTGGCTGGTGAAGCTGAATCTTTTAGTTGTTATTTTTTATTTTTTCATTGGAGTAGCAAGAAGAACAACAATACTTATTAGACTAGACTACATTATTGCGGAATTAGCGATCTTGAAGGATTCATTAAATCTTTTTTTATCTTATCCCGTTGTAGCCTTAGATTATTCATTCTCTTCAATTTTTATTATCTTGTAATAATAAATTAGTTATTTGATTTTAAATAGTTATATGAGACAAAATATTTTTATATTATCTTGTGAGGAAGCGGTCCAGCTGGTCCCCGACTCACTTTCTCTTATGAGAGATCCCAGATTCAATTATCAATAATGTGAGATTGATTCCAGTTTATCCCAGACCCCAAACCCTCTCCCCTGATGCCCCATGGGGTAAAACAAAAAAACACATATTTTTATTTTATCTTGTAATAATCTTTGAAAACAAATCCTGTATCAATTTTTTAAGCACAGTCATTCAATTATCCTAAAACGGCAGAAATGAAAACTTGCTAGATCCAGCTTCTCTTCTCTATCCCCAGACCCCAGCTTACTGCTTATTACGGAGTATATAACGCACTCTATTCCTACTTTAATCCCTGCGGCGTATTTCTTCCGGATATCTTCTGAGTCTTCTCCTCCTATCTCCTCGTTGACGTGGGTGTAAGGTAATTTCTCTGATTTTTTCTTGTTATTTACATTCCGCAATTTTCCTCCTAATTTCCTCTAGGCTAAGCTCTTCTTAATGAAAATGATGTCTCCACAAATTGAATTTCACGAAATTTTCTTATTTAGTGAAATCTACTGAGGTGTATGCATATAAGTGCAGTTTCAATTGTGCTGCCATACTTTTTCCAGTTTGTGATGGTCTACTCCGTTGCTTTGTGATCCATTTCAGTCAAAGACATAGATTAATGGTTCTCTCACGTGTAAGAACCTCCATAAGTCTTGTAAAATGAACTGAATATATTTGGATCTCCAGAAAATTTTCAGCTAAACATGTTTAGCGAGATATAATTCAGCACTTTTAGACCTCAAGAAAACCCAGTATATCAACTATAATTAGCTGAATATATTTCAGCATATCAGCACCTTTGAAGAAAGAAATGATTAGGAAGGGAAAGTTGTGATGCGGTTCTCTTCATTGAAATATTAGTATCCTAAAATAGTGATATGAGTTCTTTGTGAGAGTAACATTCTACAAACTCCTCTCTGGAGAATACCCTGCCCCCTATATTTTGGGATTTTCTTTAAAATTAAAATATCTTTAACTCTCCAAGGAGGGGCTGAGTTCGGCTCAGAGGAAATGATGGCCATAGTCTACTTGAGATAGCAAAGACTAAAGGCGATTTGGCTCAGGGATACTCTACTCTATATTAATTGATATGTATCTTTTTCTATTTCTACTATTACAACAACATCATTACCCCAATGCCACAAACACTCCCACCTACGGTGGAGTAAGGGGTGTCGGATGACTGTTCCAGTTTTTCTATTTCTATTTCTTTGACTAATCATGATGATAATCGTGTCGGAAATTGGATTGACTAATCATTTTTTCTATTTCTCACTAAGTCACTACTTCATAACAAAGACGCGCAGACGGTTTAGTGAATCACTTTGCTTTATTCCATCATATTCCCAAGCTAAAAAATAGTGAATCTTTGGCTCCATTGTAAATGATGGAAAGTCAATAAGTCACTAGTGTTTAAGAAAAATCACATTTAACTTATCAAAGTAAGAAAAGGGAGAATTTGACTTTGCACCCCATGTTTTAGGCCATATTAGACTTTGCACCCCATCTTCAAAATCATTAATATTTGCACCCCATTAGCTCAAAAATTGTGAAGGAGTGGGGTGCAAAGTCAAATGATTATATAGTGAAATAGGGTGCAAATATTAATGATTTTGAAAATGGGGTACAAAGTCTAATATTAACCAAAACATGGGGTGCAAAGTCAAATTCTCCCGTAAGAAAACTCACATTTCATTTAACTGAGGTCATTCACCTTATTTGCCAACTTGTGGGGAAGTATAGAGACACTAACCAGGATCTGCATTTGGTGTTTATTGACTCAGAGAAGTTCTTTGGTACCTCGAGAAGTTCTTTAGTGGGCCTTAACTAGAAAAGACATTTCACTTAAGTATATCGGTATCTCATCATGGATATGTATGAGGATTGTACTACAAGTGTCCCTCATAGTGTAGGGAGGACTGCATCAAGGATTGGCTCTGAGCCCTTTCTTATTTGGCGTAATCATGGATGAACTTATAAAGTCAATTCAAGACGATATACCGTGGTGTATGATGTTTGTCGACGATATTGTATTGCTTGCTGAGACACAATCGGGTGTCAAAGCAAAGTTGGAAGTATGGCGACACACATTGGATAAAAAAGGTTTCAGGTTAAGTCAAAGCAAAACCAAGTACATGGAGTGTAAGTTTGATAGAGGTAGAAGCAGCGGTGATAGCGAAATTACTCTAGATGGTAAAGAGATATCAGTCAATGATATGTTACGCTACTTGGGCTCCATAATTCAGAAGGACGGTGAATTAGATGAAGATTTATCCCATAGAATCATAAACATGGTGGATGAAATTGAAGAATGCGTCATGATTTCTATGCGATCGAGGTGTGCCGACTGGACTGATGGGTAAATTTTTTAGGACATCATATATGTCTGAATTACTGTATGGCGTAAATTGTTGGACGGTGAAACAATGTCACATTCAAAAGATGAGTGTAGCAGAGATGTGCATGCTGCGTTTGATTTGTGGACATACTGGAAAAGATCACTTGAGGAATGAGACAATCAGACAAAAGATGAGAGTAACACCTATTGAAGATAAGATGTGGGAGTCTCGCTTGCTGTGGTTTGGTCATGTGCATAGAAGGCCGAGTGATGCACTTGTCAGACGAGTTAAGAGGTGTGGAGAAGAAGCAGGGAAGAGAGGCAGATGAAGATCTAAACAGACGTGGATTAGAGGAATCAGGAGTGATATACTCCTTCCTGGGTTGGATGAAGGTATGGATTTGGAGAGAGCAAAGTGGAGGGCAGAGATTCGTGAGGCGGAGTGATCTTGTATCACCGCTTGTGTTTTTGTTTTTTATCCTTTATATATATATATATATATATATATAGGTTTTGGTTCAAATAAGAACACGATCTTATGAGAGAAATGAGAACGAATCTGGACCGTTACATTTGCAATAAGTGAAACTCAGTGTGCATTAGATGAAACTGTAATGTGCATTAGGTCAAATTGAAATGTACAACAAAAAGGGTATGATTCAGTGACATTATGTGAAGTTGAATTGTGCATCAGGTGAATTTGAAATATGCACTACATGAAACTAAAATGTGCAGAATAAAAAGTACGATGTGGTGTTATTTTTGTACCTTTTATTCTGCACATTTCTGTTTCACCTAATGCACATGTGAGTTTAAATTTTTATTCTGCACATTTTAATATCATCTAATGCACATTTCGGTTTCACAAAATGCACAATTCAGTTCCACATAATTCAATCCAACGGTCCAGATTCGTCCTTATTTCTCTCCTAAGATCCGTTCTTACCGGAACCGCTCCCTATATATATATATATATATATATATATATATATATATATATATATATATATATATATATATATATTTTATCTGTTTTATTCAATCTTTTTTTATGCATATCCTAGATCCTTTTTATATTATCCTTTTTATAGCTCATCTTTTTTATGTTTGTTATCTTTCTTTTCCTTTTTGGTTCCGATTTGATGTATTGATTCATGTTAGTCGACCCCAAAATCTTTTGGAAATAAAGCATGAATGTTGTTGTTGTTTGTATTTACTATTTACAAATTGTTTATAAAAGCTTCTAGCCACATTTGTGGGAGAACACTGTTGTATAAGTCCAAAGGTTTCAGTCTACTACAACGCGTTCTAGTTTCGTCTAGTTCTGTTCTAATTTTCAGAACAAGGGTGTTTTTATGTAAAAAAAAAAGACGCAGCCTGACAATGACAGTGTTTGGCACAAGGGAAATGGTATTCTAGTATTTGATGCATAATTATAAAAAAAGACGCTCAGTCAAGAAAGAACAATCTGTTACTTTTTATTTTTTTGCACTCTGGGGGTGTTTTGACCTTTATTAAAAAAGCCAATGTAGATACTTTAAAATTTGTGTTGGCAGCCAAATGGTGCTGATGAGGAATCAAAGATCTGTGAATACTTATTTACGTTGGGATGTGAATGAAAAGCCACTACACTTTGTTGTGCCTATACTTGGTACTCTAGTTTTCTTACAATACTCTGTACCGTAAGATCAATTTCATTGCTCCATCCCCATGTTTGTAACTGGGGCATCAACTTTCAGTTTTATGCTACCCGGAAGGGGTGTATTCCATTTCAGCTTTGTTTCTATATTTGAGTTGTGTTTGCTCACTTTCTATATACATGTTTCCTATGTTGCCAACTTACCATATGAAGTTGCTATACACTGGTTTGATAATTGATACTTTGATAGTTATGATTTCTTCAAGTTAGGTTACATTACTTTTGGAGGCTGGATTCTTTGTATTTTAAATTGGGCAGTAACTTGGACTCTTAGAGCCTTAGACCTTCATGTTAATATTGTTATGAATATATGATGGGCAGTAGCTTGGGCAGTTGAAGTAACACTCTGTCCAGGAAGGGAATGACTTCTTTTCTATTTTAGTTTTCTTTTGTATTTTAGATTGGACAGTAGCTTCTTTTCTATTTTAGTCTTTTTTTCTATTTTAGATGGCTTCTTTTGGTATAACTCATAACTAATACCCGAAAACCCGGACCGTATCGACCCGTTTCAAGCGAGGCGGGTAAGGTCCGGTTCCTATTTTGACAATTCATGTACCCATCCCATACCTACCCGGTCAATGGAAGTATTTGCCAAGTACACTAACTCACAGAGAAAATATAGAGTACGCTAGCATGCTTACTAAAGAGCACGTGATGAATGATGGGAATTATCTAAATATTTTAGATGCATGAATCTTAGACTTTTAGTCATTCATTACATCAACTTGCTCCTTAATCAGCATGCTAGTATGATCCATAGATCTAATCATAACTGACATGTGTTCATTTGAATGTACAGATATGAAGAAGTGAAACAATTTTATCTAACCTGCGGCGCTTGCCGTAGCACATCAGAGGACTTTAGTCGTGATGAATCGTACTAAAATAACCAAATTAACTACTTTGGTACCGCCAACAGAGAATAAACCCCTCTCCTACCCACCATCTCCAAGTCATCTACCCTCTGCTTTACAACAGTACATCAATTCAGACCACCCTTCACACGGCCAAAAGGTCCATTCCCACATCCTAAAAACTGGTGTCAAACCCAATATCAATATCTCCATCAAGCTCCTGATTCTTCACATCAAATCATCCTCCATCACTTATGCTCGCCAGGTGTTTGATGAATTGCCCCAACTAACACTCTCGGCTTATAACTACATGCTTTCTGGGTACATAAGGAATGGGCTAGTCCAAGAATCTTATGATTTAGTTAGAAAACAGAGTTTTTCTGGTGAAAAAGCTGATGGGTTCACATTTTCGATGATCTTGAAAGGGTCAACTTGTTTGGATGTAGCAGGATTGCAAGGTTGCTTGGTACCGACACAGGTTCACACTCAGATTTTAAGGTCTGGGGTTGAAGGTGATAGTGTGCTTTATACAGTGTTGGTCGACGCGTACGTCAAGAACAGAAGGCTACATTATGCCCGCAGAGTGTTTGATTTGATGCGGGAAGACAACTTTGTTTGCTCTACCTCAATGATTACCGGTTATATGAATCAAGGAAACATGGATGATGCAGAAGATGTGTTCAAGAAAACGCTCACAAAAGATGAGGTTGTTTTCAATGCAATGATCGAAGGCTATAGCAAATCCATCAAAACCGCCAAAAAAGCAATTGAGTTTTACATCCACATGAAAAGATTGGGATTTAACCCCACAGTTTCCACATATGCAAGCCTGACCGGGGCTTGCTCTGCTCTAGTTGCGTTTGAAGTCGGCCAGCAAGTCCAAGGGCAAGTAGTTAAGACTAACTTCTTTCAACACGTAAAGATCGGGAGTGCTTTGATTGACATGTTTTCAAAATGCGGACAAACCGAGGCAGCAAGAAGTGTTTTTGACCACATGCCCGAAACAAATGTTTTTTCTTGGACTTCAATGATTGATGGGTATGGGAAGAACGGGTATCCGAACGAAGCTCTTGTTCTGTTTGATGAAATGCTCATAAGCCATCATCTGAAACCTAACTACGTTACATTCCTAAGTGCTCTCTCAGCATGTGCACATTCCGGGCTAGTAGCCAAAGGGAAGTCCATCTTTTCAAGGATGTCAAAGGACTATTCGATGAAGCCAAGAATGGAGCACTATGCATGCATGGTTGATTTGTTGGGCCGGGCTGGAAGTCTAAACCAGGCTTTGCAGTTTATCATAGATATGCCCGAGAAGCCCAACTCTGATGTTTGGGCTGCATTGCTTAGCTCTGGAAGACTACACGGAGACGTGGAGATCACTAACTTAGCTGCTAACGAACTGTTCAATTTAAGCGGGGATGGTCGGCCCGGCGCATATGTTGCTCTATCAAATACTTTTGCAGAGGCAGGAAAATGGGATGGTGTTGATGAGGTTAGAGCGTTGATGAAGTCACGTGGGATATCCAAAGGTGCAGGGTTCAGTTGGGTTGGGAGAGATGGAAGCTTTCATGATGGGAAACAGACTTAATTAAGGTTTGTTGATCTCCCTTTGTTTATATTGTTTGTTCAATATGATGACATGTTTTCTTACTCAAATGTTTTCAAGATATGTTAGAAACAAAATGTAAAAAAACAAGATGAATGTTCTTGAGGTACTTGTTTGGACTTATGATTCAAACAATATATTAGGCTCATTTAGAGGGAGTACAGAACATGTGTGACTGAGGCTCTTGAATTGGAAGATAAAATAATGAATGATAAACCACGTGATTCTACTGTATGGTTTCTATTTTAACTTCGTACTATTTTTTCCAACATGACACCGGCGCCCACCTACACACCACTTTCCTCTCCATCCACTTTCCCAGGTATGACAAAAACATATTGAGTTTCCCAAAATATGACTAGCTTTGTTTTTAGACATTTATATGACTAAAAATCGAAAACTCTTTTGATTTTAAAACGTTGAATGATGAAAATACCCTTATTAAAAACAGTGCATTTTGCACTACTTTCGTCCGATTTAAAATAATACACTTTATGCAAGCGTTACTGCATGGCATTACGAAAATCTTTTTTTATGGCATTATGAAAATGTTATGAATTTATTGATCTTTTTTTCTTTTTAGATTTGATAACTTTATTTTTTACGTCTACTTAAATATAATGCACTTTTTGTCAGGGATATTGCATTTCATGCCAGAGTTATGGCGCGACATTCAAAAAAATGTTAGGAATTTAAAGTTCTTTTTCTTTCTTTTTAGATTTGATAAGTGCACTTTATGTCAATGTTAATTCTCTACATTATTCAATTTCTTGTCATAATCACTGCACTTCTTGTCATATCATTGCACTTCTTGTCATACTTAGTATCACTGCACTTCTTATCATATTCACTGCATTAAATACGAATTACTCGCTTCGTTTACTACTCACTGTCCTAGAATTCACTACACATTGTCTTCAATTGTCTTCAACCTACCTAGGGTTCGTCTCCAACCTTGTGCGGTTGGATGGTGGTGGCAGCGGCTGGTTCATATGCTCGCAGACCCTAAATTCATTAAATAGAAAAGGCCCATAAGCTCTATCTCAAGAAGCAAGTGAGCGGGTGCGCGGGTCGACAGGGGCGGAGCCAGGACACTGGGCCGGACTGGGCTGGTACAAAGAATATTTTTGGAAAAAATTTTACTCGTAATTTTTTACCCTAAAAATTTAGACATTTTTATAATTTGGGTTGGGCCATGGCCAGGGTTGGCCACCCCCTGTCTACGCCCCTGCGGGTCGACTTAGGCAACGAGGAGGTGGCTGTGTGGAGGGCATGGGGAGGAAAGTAGATTTGAATGAGTTCTTGTACTGCTGATTGTATATTGCACCAATAATCCTCATCACCTTATGTATTGTTTTCTTTCTCCACTTCCTTATGAGAGAGAGAAGTTCTCTCAGGACTACATGACCGGAACAGCCGTCCCGCCGCTGACATTTGAGGTGGTTCCCGGTGAAATTTTTGATGAAATTGTGTGGTCGTGTTCTTCATGAAGTGTATATTATGTCCACAAAAGTTTATCTTAAAGTTGAATCGAGAAGTCAGGTAAATTAATTATTGAAAAACATTGAGCTTATTCCACCGGAAACCACCTCAAATGGGGCCAGCCGACCAGTCGGCGGTTCCGGTCAGAAAGTCTTGACCGGAAGATTACTATATATACATATACATTATATTTACTTATGTTTATTTATTCATAAATATCGTAATTTAATTGATAGTAAATTAAGGAGTAAAAATGCAAGTGAAGGAGAGAGGGAAAAAAATAAAATTTAGATTTTATTTATGTGTGTGTAAGTATAATATTAATAATTTTGAATTTGGATATTTTATTATTAGGCAAATTTGAAGAAGAAAAATTTCGCTCTTACTCATGGACAAAGACGGAGTTGAAGCCATCTCACTTCACATACCTATTATTGGTCGACATCAAGGGCCAACTCAAGGGGATAGATGCCATGGAAAAAAATGTACAGACGATGAAAAGCCATTGATTCGAACCTTATGTCTACATAAAAGGATCAATAGACATACACTACATTGCTGGTGGTCACAATGAAAAAGCCGAGGCTGTAATGAAGGAGATGGAAGAAGGGGACTAGAAGGAACGCCGTTTTGTGCGCACATTGCTCCTTCCTCTCTATGCTTCCCTTGGCAAGGCAGAGGAAGTTAGCAGAATCTGGGAAGCTTGCGATTCCTGCTTGGGAACTTTGAAGAAAAACGAAGAGGCAGAAGATCTCATTTCGACAGCTTACCATGTTTTATTAAGTGTGTATGCAAAACTCAAGATGTTGGAGAAAGGGAATTGAATGAGCTTGTAAAGAGGATGGGACAAAACCATTGCCCGGTGGGGCCATTCACTTGGGATGCACTTTTTAAGCTTTATTGTAATGCTGCAGAAGTGGAATAGGCTGTGACTCTATACTGAAAAATGCGGCCACAAAGCGTCAGAAAATGCCACTGTACAGATCCTATGCCACCATCATGGAGAAATATGCAGCAAAAGGCGACGTACACAACTGTGAGAAGATGTTATACAGAATGAGGCAGGTGGGGTACACATCCCGGCTTAAAAAATTCCAAACACTTCTTCAGGCATATATAAATGCCAAAGTTCCTGCTTATGGAATGAGTGAGATAATGAAGGCTGATAAGTGATATTGTGATAACATATTTGCGAACAGAAAATTGGCTAGCATGTTGGCTCAGGTTGATGGATTCAGACATACGGAATTGTCGGAGATACTGGATCGATCAGCTTCTGGTACTGGGTAGTTTATAACTGAACTGCAGAATTTGGTCTGCTTATTATGATTTTGTAGTCCTTCGTCTACTTGTGATGTTGAATGTGTTTTCTTGTTATGTTTCACTTGAACAACCTGATCGGCGTTGTGATTCATTTTAAATAAATTTAAACTATCGCCTAGGTTTTGACAATGTTAGGATAAATAATACCAAAAGATATGGACAACAAAGGATCCATTTTAAAAATTCAAAAAATAGATTGGTGACTTTTTATACCCCTAAGTCTAAGTGATTATTTTCCAGTGACCCTGACCAAATGAGCCAGTGACCAATTGCAGGCCACAGTGACTACCGCACACCACCACCCGTAATTAGAGTTAATAGTGAAGTATTCCAATACTCCTGTCCCATAAAATTCTTCTCGTTAAAAATAAATAAATGAATGTTAGCCACACAAAAGTTTTCAAAAAAGAAAATGGGGAGAATTTTTAGGGACATCCCAAAATGGTAAGTGGGGAGAATTTTGTGAGAAGGTGGGAGTACAAGATTCTGATTCACATAGATAATAAATTGATATTTGTTACATACTCCTAAAGTGTTACGGAGTACATTTTTGTAAAATTAAAAACGATTACGCTTGTGTTCAATTAAGGGGTAATTTGAGTTTGCACCCCACATTAATGTCTAAATTGGACTTTGCACCCCGTTTTTATAAATCTTTGTTTTTGCACCCCAACCCCATGTAAAAAGACAAAAATGCCCTCAACCAGGAATATGTTGAAGGTCAACAAAATTGTTAATGGAGGGACATTTTGGTCTTTTCATATGTGATTGGGGTGCAAAAACAAAGATTTTTAAAAACGGGGTGCAAAGTCCAATTTAGATAATAATAATATGGGGTGCAAACTCAAACTTCAATTAATGGTAACAACCGGTGGGCGTAGCTCAACTCGTAGCGAGGGAGTGCCATAAGGGTTAGGTCTCGGGTTCGAATCCCGGCAACTGTGATGAGAGGTTACTATGCTAAAAAATGCATAGGGCTTCTGCAAGTACCGGGGACAGAGCTCTACTCTCTATCTGTCAGATTGTGATTATAGTCCAATTTACATCCTCTCATCGTGCCGTTCGGTCGGTGTTGGGGGCCCCTCAGAGATGGGGTGTCATCTTTTTTTTTTCAATTAATGGTAACAATTGTGGTAACTCTTCTAGTGTGATGAAACACATATTTCCATCGATTCTAAATATCGTTACGAAAAAGTAACAAGAGCGATTGTATAGTCACGAGTCACGACACAAAACTGCTACAGTCAGGCATAGATGATTTGTACTTTTAAATGCAAACTAATAATTATTTTTAGGCTCTTAACAGATGGAAGGGGCAAGTGGAATTGTGGAAGGCATGCCTGATAGCCGCAATGGCGGACCCAGAAAGTCGGAGCCACGGGGTCCCTACCCTTTTATATCTCTAATCTCTAATTAATATAAAACTAATAAAAAAAATATTAAAGAAGCATAACACTTCATAGTTAACGTACACCATCAAAACATTAAGGTATTATAAAGCAAAAAATTACATATAAAAATCATTCAACAATTAAACCCTCCTAAGCTTCATTTGTTGGAAATATTCTATAATAGAATCATCACTAATAGTTTTGGTCTATTTAATTAAAATAGGCCAAACGACCTAGTTTTGATCTATTTAATTAAAATAGTTTTGGAAAACAAAAAAAGGTTTGTTGGAAGGGTTTTTTACAAGAATATTACTAAAATAAAACTTATTTACATAAATATGACTATTCATTAGTACAACGTAGTGTTGTGGTAACTTAAGTTCAAAACTTGAACATAAATTATTATGATTTCATTACTACTCTAGTAACTAGTCATATTTTTGTAATTATTTCTTGTTGGAAATATTCTATAATAGAATCATTACTAATAGTTTTGGTCTATTTAATTAAAATAGGCCCAAACGATGTAGTTTTGGTCTATTTAATTAAAATAGTTTTGGAAAGCAAAAAAGTAGCCCAGGGAGATTCGAATATTGTTCCTCTCGCAACATAGAAACCTAAAATCCACATGTGCTCCCGTTCCCCTACTACATTCTTCTGGTTCGTAGGTCGTTTTGTATGTAGATATATATACACTTACTAATTAATTTTATATAATACTCCCTCCGTAACAAAAAAATCTTCTTTCTTTCCTTTTTCGTCCGTAACAAAACAATCTTCTCACTTTCCTTTTTCTTCCGTAACAAAAAAATCTTCCCGCTTCTAAATATTCTCATCATACCCTCAATAATTCTAAAAATAATACACTATTACAACTACTTTTTTTTGGATTTATCCTACATTCCATCACATTATTCAACTATCTTCTCATCATACCCTCAATAATTCATATCCTCTTTCACTATTCTTAATCTACATACTTTTCAAATGAGAAGGTTTTTAAGTTAGAGAGGTAGTATATATATAATATATATAGGTATATTTTTCACGGGGTCCCGGGACCCCGTGGGACCCTTACTGGGTCCGCCTCTGCTGATAGGATCTTTTAGTGTATTTACTAGCTAGTATTAAATCTGATCAACATTATCAACTTTCTATTTAAAGATGACCGTTTAATCATTCAAAGATATGTCTGATAGGATCTTTAAGCTCAAAATTGTCTTTTCCACTTCTTTGTTTAATATCGGCTTAATGTTTAAGTTACCAAGCTTTGGGTCAAAATCTTATTATGTACGTAGTATATCAATATCATGCATGTTTCTCTCAAACTCTCAAACTTTGGAGCCGGGCCAATATACGGAGCTAGCATATAAAAGTTAATGTTAACTTAAAAGGTAGAGAAAGGGGCGGCTAGTTGTATATCTAAGTGGGCTAGCTAAGGAAAAAGCATTTAGCAGAACTTTTATTGAACGGATGCATCTACTGCTCTGTTCTAGGAGGTCAACTACCAGAGTGTCCTATATACTCCCTGTCCCATAAAATTGTTCCCGCATTGACTTGGATCAGAATTTGAGAAAGTGGGAATAAAGTGAAAATGTATGGTTGTAGTTGTGTAAGAAAAAAGTAAATGAATGTGAGTCACACAAAACTTTCCAAAAGGGGAAATGAGAACTATTTTTTGGGACGGCCCAAAAAAGGAAACGGGGAACTATTTTGCGGGACGGAGGGAGTACATTATTTTTTTATAGGAAATACATCATAGCTGAATTGCACTAAATCTCGGGATAATATTTTATCCATTATTTGTTTGTTTGCTTCACCTTGATTATTAATTATGTAATTGCTTATTATTTTAGGTTTACAAGAGCATCAGAAGAGATGAAGCGTTGTTAAAAGATGAAAATGCTGAAGTTCGGGATGCATGCACCATCTATTTTTGTATATTTTTTTGCAAACTTTATACTATATACATAAAAGAATGTATTCTAAGACTAATTTTTATTATATTGGATGTGTAAGATGTTTGGAATTCTAAAGAATGTACTAAGAACAAGTAATTGTGTTCTATGAATAATTGATTGTCAATTTGAAATTTTAAAGAATGCATTTTAAGAATACATAATTACATTCTAAGAATAAGCAATTGTCAATTTGGAATTGTAATAAAAACAGCCGGTTTACTACTCCATCATGTTACTGTAGGAGTAATTAAATTGTTGCGGCCTTGCGGGTGTCCTCAAACCGTTGTAATTTAGAGTGCTTCACATAATGGGACTTAAGATATTTAAATGAGAAAATACAAATGACAAAAAGAGGCTCTTATACTATAGCACTCTGTCATAGTTTCAACATCATACTATGAATAATGTAAAGACAAATGCTCGTAAACTCATGAAGCCTAGTCATTATATAATTATCTGAGTTTAAGGCCAAAGAGATCCAATTTTTTCATCCTTTCATCCAATCATACAAATGGGAAAATGGTGGAAGATCTACTAATTCTTGATCTGTAGAGGAATCATAATATACTACGACACAAGTTGCATAATGCTGAGAGTTAAAAGGGGTAATTTCTTGATGTAAGAAGCATGGGGACGTGTTAGAGGTTGGAGGTTAAACAGCGGTTCCCGAGAGCTTAGAGAAACTAAACTTCTTAAGGGTTGGCCATTGCTTTTCACGGTTTCCACATTTTAGGTCTACGATTTCCACTATACGAGACCCCCTCCTAACACCATTCACTCTAACCGGAGTAGTTGTTTCATCCACGGACAAGTGCCCCGACTCTAGAATGGGAATTTCATGGGTTTTCCTAGTGTAGTTCTTCACCTTTCGCGCAGCTTCAGGGCTATTACTGTCGTTTCCACTTATGGTTTCGTTTAATGATGATGATGTTTTGGGTCTCATTCGTTTAGGACTGGTAGCAGCACCAGCAACAAAAGAACAGATGGACGGGGGCTTCTTTTTTATTGGTCCCGCTGGTGTCTTAAGAGAAGGTTTCACGCAATCTAATTCTTTGGAAACTAGAGCACTAATTGTGCCTGTGGTCCCAACCTTCATGGACCCTCCCCCACCTTTGATTGCCTCCAATGTTTGAACCATCTCTTTCATTTCTTCCTTCATCCTTTCTTTCTCAAAGCCAATTCCTACAAAGCGTAACCATTTTAGTGTCAAGTATAAAAGAAGTTTGAAACACATGTGCAAGGATGAACTTAACCATTTTAGTCATGTATCAAGTCAAAGGTAAACAATTGTGTTAAGGATTAGGATTTTATCCTAAAACTTAGGTGGCAGAGTTGAATCTTGGTTTATTATTTTTATATTTAAATGGTGTGGGATAAATCCTGTGATAACTTGCAAGCTATCTTCCTCATTTAAATCCATGTAGGCTATATTTGTACAACGAACTGTAACTGAAAGTTAATGTCCTAATTAAGAGCTATTATCTTATAATTGCTAGTTGAATGAAATAGACATGATTGGAAAAAAACTAAAAAGATGTCTAATAATATGGTATGTGTCAGTGTGTGTGTGTACATATGTTTATAGATGTACGCGTATGTATGTATACATGCATGCATATTTGTACAAATGACAATAGAATGCTACTGAGTTAAAAAAAACAAAAAGCGACACAATGCATTGAATAACCATTTCTATATGATAACAAAAGTAAAAAATATTTATATATGTTTACCGTTTGGGAGTTAATGAAGGCATCATATTAAGAAGGGAATACTAGAACATTTATTAAGAAGGGAATACTAGAACATTTATTACTACGTATTATAATCCTAAAACAAAAAGTGTAACACACGTATGACACATGAATTGTACAGTTTTTCTCTGTAGTTAACACATAGATACAAATGTTTATAAACCCTAGTTACTTTTGAATTCAAATTTGGTTTCTTTTCGATTCTGCTCCTTGAAATACATGTTTTGATATTCTTAGATGAAATACCTCTGCACTTTAGTCATAGACACAGTCAGACTGAAGTTAATACTATTGATGTGAACATTAAGCTTCAGAACAAGTATGGAACAGATGGAGACTAAGGAACAAATAGCTTGTGTTTGCAAAGCACGCATATAGTATGGGTTGGAAACATAGCTATGAAAGTAAAACTTTATTAATTTCTAGGTTTTTCGTAATGAAGATCCTTTTGGGGCTATTTTTTAATTCTTTAATATTGACATGGTTGTCTTCTTCTTGGTTGATTATTTGCAAATATAGCATATAGTCAAAGATCTAAAATTTGAAATTGCAACAACTAGAATTAAGTTGATTCCTATTAGGGAGTATCTTGTCGCCGCAGTTTATATATTTTTGATGGACCAATCCTTTGATTGCAGATGTCATTAAACAAGACCATAATAGTTCAGCTTTGACAAATGCTCCCGCTAAGACCACTGTATTAATGTTGAAAGACTTCTTTCATTTAGAGTGATTGCTGAATAAATGACAACCGACAAATCTCACACTTGCTTACATTTTATATACTTCAGTTGGACCTTTGTACTTCTACGAAATATATAAAGATGTGTATTTCAATAAATCATTCAAAAGAATTTTGAGTTTATAGAGCTGGATGTTCCTATCCATTTTCAGTGCCCTTCTTAAACTCTAAAAATCATAGAGCTAATTGTCAAACAATTGTTTTTGTCCCTAAGCATTCTGGATTGTGTATATACATATTTATTTCCCTTGTGCAGCAAGAAGGGTTAGTTTTCTTCTATCCTAATATAGGAAAGAATAATACATAAAAATAATTTCCTAATAAAACCTAAACTGCAATATGAATAAAATAATGTTGTGAAAGATCTTTCAACAACTGGAATGAAACATCTAGTTTTATTAAACAATTTATTTGTAAGGTTTACATTTGTTAGCTAACCAAGAGAAGGTGAGCAAACACAGCTCAAGTATAGAAACAAAGCTCAAATGGCATAAACCCCTTCCAGGGAGCATAAAACTGAATGTTGGTTCCAGTTACAAACATGGGGATGGAGCAATGGAATTGATCTTACGGTACAGGGTATGTTACAAAACCTAGAGTACCAAATATAGGCACAGCAAAGTGCAGTGGCTTTTCATTCACATCGCCAACGTAAATAAGTATCTATAGATCTTTGATTCGTCATTAGCACCATTTGGCTGCCAACACAATTTTTTAAGTAAAGCACTCCTACATTGGTTTTTTTAAATAAAGCTCAAAACACCCCCGGAGTGCAAAAAAAATAAGAAGTGAGAGATTGTTTTTTTCTTGACTGAGCGTCATTTTATTGATATTTATGCATCAAAATAGCAACTTACAAAGTCTCTTTTTTTCCGTTTAAATATTTCTGTAGAAAATACGTATTACAAATTATACACTTATAATACTAGGATACCATTTCCCTTGTGCCAAACAACATGTCATTGTCAGGCTGCATTTTTTGTACATAAGAACTCCCTTCATGTTAGGGGGCAGAGTATTCTCCAGACGAGTTTGTAGAGTGTTACTCTCCCAAAGAACACATATCACTATTTTAGGATACTAATATTGAAATGAAGAGAACCGCACCACAACTTTTCCTTCCTAATCACTTCTCTGTTCAAATGTGCTGATTTGCTGAAATATATTCAGCTAGTTATAGTTGATTTACTGATTTTTCTTGAGGTCTAAGAGCTGAATTATATTTCGCCAAATATGTTTAGCTGAAAATTTTCTGGAGAACCAAATATATTCAGTTATTTTTACAAGATTTATGAAGGCTCAAAGTAGACCATCACAAACGGAAATAAAGTATACACTTTACCAAAACATCACTCTACGACTCTAGACACCGCAACTATTATGCATCGGAACTAGAAATACAGAACCGGATTCTAAAATTACCCCACTAGATTTCACTAAATAAAAAAATTAATGAAATAGAATTCAAACCTTGGAGAAATCATTTTCATTAAGAATAGCTTCACCTAAGAGAAATTAGGGGAAAAATTGCGGAATGTAAATAACAAGAAAAAAATTAGAGAAATTTTTACCTTACACCCACGTCAACGAGGAGCTAGGAGGAGGAGAAATTCGCCGCAGGGATTGAAGTAGGGATAGAAGTGCGTTATATAATAATGAGTAAGGTGGGGATAGAGAAGAGAAGCTGGATCTAGCAAGTTTTCAATTCAAGCCTGTTTCTGCCGGCTGATATTTCTCCAAAAGCGCTACTTTTAGCCGTTTCAGGATAATTGACTGCTTAAAAAACTGATATTGTCAAACATAGCTTTTATAGGACGACGAAAACCTTGGATTTGAAGGTTACTGAAAAAGGCTGTCTCGCTTTACTACCGCCTTCTTCGGTGACGGATTTTACAATAAAATGCTAGGTTTTCAAAATTGTTTACGGAGTATTTTATTGTTAAAATATTGACAATAGACCAATAGTATGTTTGATTCAACCATTGAAGCAATGAAATATTTTTAAAAACACAAATTTAGCAAATAGGGTTAAAGATAACCAACAGTATAATTCGTATAGAAAATATAATACCGAGTATGTAATATACTACGTTGAGTATATTATTACATCAATTCTTTCAAAACAAAATATTACATCAATTTTATACAAGCATTTTTACATTTTAATTTCGAAATTTTGAGTATTCATCTGAACGCCCTTGAAGCCTCCTAATATTTTAAAGTGCTACATCTTTTATAGTGTACTATGATCATTACAAAAAATCAAATTTAATAATTTTTTATTAACTTTGAAATTTAACTTTTACTTAATTTTAAAATTTTCTATTAATTTATCTCAATCAAATAAATTCCCCTAAATTTTGAAGTGCTATATCTTTTATACTTGTACTCTGATCGTTACAAAAAATATCAAATTTAATAATTTTCTATTACCTTTCACACGACACAAATATATTACAAAAGAATTTTATCTTTCATACGCAGTGCTTTTAGATATAAGAAGATAAGCATGTTGATAATTGTGTGAAAGAATTTTCTCTCTCATATGTCATACTTTTAAGTATAAGATAAGACAATATGTGGACTAATAATTGAACGATAAAATTTCTTTCTCATATATAGTGCTTTTAGATACAACGTATAAGATAATCCATTTAATAATTGATCAAGAGAAAATAGAGAGAATCTTCTGTCTCATATTTTCTCTCTTATGACCTTTTAAACGTATGAGAAGACATTTTCCTATAATTATCACATATGCCATGACAATAAATAAATATCAAGCTTTATCACTGAGAAAAGATGAAATATTCCGACATAAACGTATGAAGTGCTTTTTTATAAGATAAATGGGCTAATAAATGAGCTGAAATTTTCTCTCTCTCGGACGTACTTCTTTTAGATGTAAAATAAGACTAATAATTAATTGAGAGAATTTCTTCTCTCATATTTTCTCTCTCATGACCTTTTAAACGTATGAGAAGACATATTTCTATAATTATCACTTATGCATGTCATGACAATAAATAAGTATCAAGCTCTATCAATGGAAAAAGATGAAATATTCTTATATAGACACTAGTTTTCTGTCGCGCGATGCGCGAGAAGAAAATGCCCAATGCTACTGCGTTACGGTTAACAAAATGTAATGTTATTGATTGAAATAGTTGATTCATTTGAAATTACACACAAACTTTATGTATAATATTCTCCATGATCATAATGGTTAAAAGCAAGGGTCTTATGAATACCAATACTTGTAACAGTTTTTTATGTTTGGATGTTGCATGCAAAGCTAAAACAGGCTGCAGTGCTGCACATTTTAAATTGAGCAAGAGCGAAAATAGAACGTTATAAAATCTTCATTTTAGCTTATTTACAAACACCTAATATGATAGAAAGAGGTTTTACTTTCTCTATCAATTCAAATTAAATTTATAGATGTACTCGAATCTCACGAGAAGTATTAGTTTGATACTTATTTACTTGTGACATGACACAATTCATGTGTGGCGGTACTCCCTCCCCGACGCTTGATTGTAATGTATTCATCATTTGTTCAATTGAAAGAAACAGGGTTATTACTGGTTCTCAAACATAAATCGGAATTGGATAGCTTTTATACTATAATTGAAGGGGATGGTAAAGCTTTCCAGGCGCAAGCTCTTGATATTTTTTATCTAATTACTTATTTATGGTAGGCTAACCATTATCCACATGAAATGAAATAAAATAACCTTAACTAAATAGCTTTTTTTTTTGTTTTGTTTTACTCCAGGGGGGTTCTGGGGGAGGGGGCTAGGGGAAGCCTGGAGTAATCAGGGCCGAAACTCACTCCATTGAGTTTCCAACCCTTGTGTGCCTAGCGGGATTCGAACACGAGACCTCCACTAGGCACGATAACCACACGAGACCTTAACTAAATAGCTATTTATGAAATACATATAACCCATCAAAGTGGACATAATAGTACATAAAAAAATTTAAACACTTTTCAAATTGAATACTAACAACTCATGAAACTAAAAGCGAAGCACACAACAAAATGCAGAAGCACAAACTTCATATCCTTCAAAAACTACCCTTGGTTCTCAAACCAACCAATAATTCAACCAACCTCAAATAGAACAAATACTAAATACTTACATAGGATAGTATATCACAACATTTAAAAAACAACCAAGTACATATGTAACACTATGTTCTCAAAAAGAAACAAATGTGGTGGATAATATAGAACATTAGTTGAAACTCCCTTTTAATTTTATATTATTAGTAAAAATTCTTTGCCCCGATAGTTTTTTTTGTGTGTAGGAACAGAATTCGGAAAGATCTCTTTCTACTATAATGTTCACTTTCGGTCATTTCAGTAGTATACTAAGCTTCAAAATCATTTTAAGATATTAACTTTTTTTACTCCAGGGGGAGGGGGGTTTGGGGGCCTAGGGTAAACTGAGATCAATCTCACTCCATTGAAAATTGAATTCGGGACCTCCCATAAGGGAGAGTGAGTCGGCGACCAGCTGGGCTGGACCGCTTCCTCTTTTAAAATATCACCTTTTTAAAGTAGAAACAATGACAAATTAAACACTCCCTTCATCGTGCACCAAACCATGACTGGTCGAATTGATTGCTTTAAGGAGTGTTTGCAAAAGATTAAAAAAAGTAATTTTCAACTTTTGGCTTAAAAAAGTTGAAATGAGTGTTTTCAAACGACATATTCTGCTTAAATTAATCACTTAAAAGCTAAAAGTTGGAAGAAGGTTGAGAGGTGTTTTAAATTGCTTCACTTTTTTTACTACCTCTGTTCTCTTTTAGTTGCAACGTTGGACTTTTTACACTATTCACATATTCTACTTTGACTACATTTTATTATTTGATGTGTTATAAATTAAATTTTTAAAAAATATTGTTAAATTCTTCTCTTTCTAAATTTTCAAAATATGAATTTTTAAAATTTTTTACTAATACGGAATGAAAGATATTAATGGTCAAACTTGTGCGTTGACAAACGTGAAATGTTGACTGTTGCAATTAAAAAGGAACGGAGGAAGTATTACACAAAGCGGCCATTTGGCAACACTGTTTTTCGGCTTATCAGGCTTATCAGCCAACTTTTTCACCAAACACGTAATTTTTGCTTTCGCGCGCTGAATTGTGTAATAAGCAGAAAAAGTAAAGTTGGAGTTACTTTTCTGGCTGTATTGGCTGAAGTTACTGTAGATGACCATTTTAGCTATTTTTACATATAATTTTTTCTTTATTTTATTAATAAAATATATTTTACAAATAATTTTTTCTTAAATCAGCAGAATCAACCAATGCAGCCACTTCAGCCAGAACTTCATAAATTTAAGCAGAATCAGCCAAAACAGCTTATTTTCGTGCTACCAAACAGGCTCAAAAAGCACTTATTCTATCAAACACTACCAACTTTTACTATATTAATCACTTTTCTCAAAATCACTTTAAAAACACATTTTAAAGTAGAAGCAATCATAAACATCCCTTAGTAGACCAGAAACATTCCAATTTTGAAAACGTAACTTAAGTTGCTGATGGCAAATAATTGATTCAATTGAATCAAATCAATAATATTTTTTGAGAGTCGAATCAATCAGTTTATAAAGGAAGTGCTCGCACAATGTGAACGGAGAGGCAAGATGGACACATAGTTCCTGAATCCTGATCTATAGTGTTGATTAGATCCCAAAAACGATACTTTCATATTGGGAGTTGTAAGCACTTTCGAAGGATTAGTTTTAGCACTGCCTTTATGAAAGTAATGATGATTTGGCATGCTATTGAAGGATGACAGAGATAAGTTTAACGGAGTCATAGGACAACATGTTATAATAAATAGAGAGTACAACATGTAAAAGGCAGTGTATCACTATTTATTGCTTTGAGATACCACCAACATTTTTTCTATACCTAATAAGTCCTAGCCTTCATTGGGCTTTATAATATTTTAGATTAGATATGTAGTGTTTTTCGTATAAGATAAGCGGCTTAATAAATGAGTATAAACTTTTTCTCTCTTGGACGTACTGCTTTTAGGTATGAGATAAGATAAGCGGACTAATATGATCGAAAAAATCTTCTCTCTCATATGTAGTACATTTATGTATAAGGTAAGTGGACTAATAATTGAGCAGAAGAATTTTCTCTCTCATATGTAGTGCTTTTAGATATAAGATACGCGGACTAATAATTGAGCAGGAGAATTTTCTCTCTCATATGTAGTGCTTTTAGATATAAGATACGTGGTCCGTGGACTAATAATTGAGCACAAGAATTTTCTCTCTCATATGTAGTGCTTTTAGGTATAATAAGGTATAAGGTATAAGGTATAAGGTAATCCGACTAATAATTAGGTAAGAAAATTAATTGATAACTCATACTACCTCCGTTCTTAAATAAATGCAATAGTTTGACTTTTACATTATTCACATGTTCTACTTTGACTACGTTTTATTTATTAATGTAATATTATTTTTTATGAAAAAAATCTTTTTAAACTTGTCTCATTGTACACTTTTATAAACCTGATAAGTCGGAAGAAAGGGTTACCAAACGGGCTTATAACGCCACAGTAAATTAATAATCCATAACAACATACAAAATCATCTTAGATAATACTCTCTTAGTCCCATTTTGTAAGATATGTTTACTATTCACTTGGTCAACACAAATCACTCTTAATCTCTTACTTTATATATCAATTTTTTATCAAATTTGATTATGATTTTTGCGACTTTGTAAAACTTTTAATTTAGTTTGTGAATATGTATTTCTTTTTTAAAAAAAAATTGAGTGCGAACAGAGATTCGTTTGCTTTATCATCGATCAAACGTCGTAAACCGTAAAGTGTCTTAC